TTTTTTTTTAGCTCTCTTCACGCCGAAACCCCATTCAAGTGAATAAAGAAGTTTTGCTCAGTTTTTGGGAATTTTCGGGAAAACCGCTTGGCGGATCTCTCCGAAAAATAGATAGCACACTATTCCCGATCAGGCCGCACGTTTTGATGTATTTTTCATGCCGCGGTTGGCAACGCTGTGTGAGGAGAAGCGCGCCAAACTTTTGGATAAACCTGATTATTAGTATGATTAAGCCCGATGGATAATGTACAGTGTGCTTTGGCACAGGCAGTCAAAGCACACTGAACTAGAAAATTTCTAAAGAAATTTTGACAGTGTGGCTTCTACTGCCGAAAGAAATGGCAATATATACACACGCCAATGTTACCGGTAGTGTCATTCAGGTTCAATTGAGATAGCGCTACTCTTTTTTTCTGCATTTTAGATTCATACTTTTATTTTGAAAGGGTGGGACTGGGTGGGTGAGAGAGGGGGAGAGGAGACAGAATCATAATGTTTGACACTAAAATGAGAGGCTTCATCACAAGCATTCCAGTTAGAATTCATTCAGTGTCATCCAGAATGTGAGAGAACCATGGGCATGGGGGGGGGTGCAGGAAAAGCGTCAGCCCTCTAGAAGGACCATCCAGGAGAGACCCGAGGGGAGAGACCCATCACTTGAGAGGCCAAGCAGAGTGAGGTTTCCAAATCTTGTAAAAGGTCACAAAGAGTGAAAGAGGGCAAAAATAACCAGACATGCCCTCAATTAATGAATGTTAGAATTATGAGATACACCAGAGTCCAGACAGACAGTTTTATGTCCTGAGTGAATCAGACAGACAGACGATTTTATGTCCTGAGTGTGTGACGGCCTCTGGTTTTAAGCAGGGCCTGCTGTGGGCGTGCCCTTGTTTTCAGGACCAAGACCTCACGACACATGAACAGTTTCTTCCCGTCGGCAGTCGGGCTCATTAACAGAGCCCGGGACCCCGACTGACTCTGTCATCCCCAGGACAAATTCCTACCGGTCACTCCCCTGCACATCCCTTCTATTTCACTCGACACTTTTACACTACACTTACATCTCACTTGTTTATAGTCCTGTTATCTGTTCGCTTGTGCACTTTATTTTATATTCCACTTTATTTTATTTTATATTCCACTTTATTTTATATTTTACTTTATTTTATATTTTTCTGTAAATTTTAATATGTTTCTACTTTGCACTGTTGTTTGTTGTTAAATGTTATGCACCTCCCGTCATGTCAAATTCCATGTATGTTCAACATACCATGGCAATAAACGGTTCTGATTCTGATTCTCTGTGCTGTCTTGCAGGTCCCTTGTAGGCGGAGCCTCTCGGTACAATTGGCACCTGGCCAGTCTCCCAGGGGTATATAGGACCTGCCTGCCGCAGTCGGGAGCACTCTCTGTGTCCTCTCGGTTGCCGCCCAGTTCCTGGATCGAAGGTGGCTGGGCGCAATCACTGATCAGTGCTACGCTGAATAAAAGGAGAGGAACTCCAGAAGGACAACCCCTTGGGAAATGCGTAGTGGTGGAGCTGTGGATCAGTGGATCACCCCGGATACAGCCGTGTGGGCTGTTGCCATCATTGTGTTCATCAACTAGTGTCGCTCTCTGGTTATCAGAGAGTTGTTTTCTTTTTCTGCCTTGTGAGCAGCTAGCTATTTTTACAAATAAATATTCCTTTGTTAAACAAACCATTTTCACTACTCACTCTCTCTTTCCCCGGGAAAAATAACATCGTTACTCCCCGCATCCCTTAGATGCCAAACGGGGAATGTAACACTCATAGTATAGTATAGTATGTTGTAAAAACAGTTGTAAAAATGTCATAGTATAGTGTAAAGACAAAATGGAAGAGTAAAGCATGCTTACATGTGTGTTGACTCAGCAGTGATAACATTAAATGAAAAGTTGATCAAAAGCAGAATTCATATTTGACAGCAATACAGACTGCCTGGGAGCCTTACTGCATTATATTCTATCCAATTATATTTTGTTATTCTTTACATGAATGCAGACTCTTCATAACACATCATGAATTTGTTCATGAAAATTCACCAGGAAATTATGTTTGACCCTCAAACTTGTTTAGTATAGTTTGACATAACAATGTCACAAGCCAGTCATAGCATGGTATAGTCTATTCATCTGAAAGACATTGTTCTCAATTCGTAAATAACCAATTTGCAGTAATCCTTATCAAAAATGTTGCTGGATCAATACTTGATTTTTCCAAACTCACAAATATTGATATTGACCTCAAACCTCCAGTATTGGTCCGGCCATGCTTGTGAGACCCCTAACTTTATGGAAGGGCAATGCTAAATCATTGAGGTGTCCCTTTTAAATCATATAATTTCGTCTCTCCAGCCACAAAAACACTTTACATGAAATATTCTCCTTTATTGCTTACATGCTTACACTCTTGATGATAATAAAAAGATCAAACGCATCCAAACTGTACTTTGTGTTCATTGTCGGTGAATTCTGTGACAATCAGTGAAAAGCTTCTTGATGTGCGCACATCTGACTGCATCTGATGTGAATTATTGATTAGAGGTATTCCATAACACACATACATTAATTATAAAAGAAACATCACTTTGTCATTTAACTATCCTCCATTTTAAATAATCAATCCTAAAATAAAATGCTGGCAGTCATGGTTTACATGAACCGGTCCTAGTTACATCTCCTTCCTGGACCTGCGGACCACCGAGCCCCGCCGCCTTCTCACAGTCGCCCGGAAGGTGACGCCCTCGTTTAGTTTAAACCGAGCGATGCCACCTGCCTCATCCAGTTTCTTGGCGCTGCAGCACGGCGTCGGGACCTTCGTAGTGTTACCGAACTTGGAGTAGTCCACCGCGTACATGCCGTCCTCCGCGGAGACTGTGGGCACGAAGCGCTGACCCCACAGGATCTCCTCCGACACGTAGGAGGTCCTGGCCTGGGTGGTGATGCCCGTGGTCTCCACCACCCCCTCCAGCACCACGATCACCTCGATGTCCTCGTGCTGCAGGTCAAAAGCGGACAGCTCATACAGAGGGCTGTCCTTGTCGATCACATGACAGATGATGAGGGGGGACACCAGGAAGACGCCGTTCGTGCCCACCGGGTTATCAATGTGGATGTCGATCTGGTCCAGAGGCACCACCTCGCCCTCGTTGGTGGTGCTTCTCCTGACCACCTGCAACCGCACGGTGGCGCTGATGATCATGCTTTTCCTCAGATCACCGATGCGGATCATGAAGCACAGCTTGTTGTTTCGGACGGAGATGACTGCGTGCTTGCTGAAAATGAGCGTCTCTGCGCGCCGATTGGCCTGCGCAGTTTTCATGAAGATGCAGCCGAGCATGATGGCGTTGATGACCAGACCGACTATGTTCTGCACGATCAGGACAATGATGGCAGAGACGCACTCCTCCGTGATCATCCGGCCCCCGAAGCCGATGGTCACCTGGACCTCTATTGAGAAGAGGAAAGCGGAGGCGAAGGAGTGAATGCCCGTTACGCACGGGACAAAGTCGCCTCCTCTCTGGTCAATGTCACCGTGCGCAAACGCAATAAGCCACCAGATCATCCCGAAAAGGAGCCAGCTGCACAGGAAGGACATGGTGAAGATGATGATTGTGTGGAGCCATTTTAAATCCACGAGAGTGGTGAAGACGTCCAGCAAGAATCGACCCTGTTCTCGGATGTTGGTGTGCGCTACATTGCAGGTGCCGTTCTTGGCGACGAACCGTGCTTTCCCCGGTTTGGCCTTAAACAATTTTGGCTGCAGGACACCTTCAGCCAGACGTGTCGGCAAGTAATCCTCAGGAATGAGTCCTTTCCTGGACAACATAGCGCTCCCATGCTATGGACCCGCAGCCTTTTGGCTTTGTGTGATTCGTCTCTGCCCTGCTAAAGATGAATTATTTTCCTCTTCCCCGGTGTCTTTTCTTACAGCTCCTCAGCTTTCGAGCACAGTAGAGTCTTGCTGTCCGTTGTCTGGAGGTATGTGCGCTCCTCACGTTGCCTCCAGATCAGGCGCTCCACAACCGCGAAGTCCCAGGGGAAATTCCTCATCCGGCTCCCCAGCTGTCGCTGTCACTCACACCACCCACAGACAGGGCATAGATGCGCCACACCGCTGCGTTCCATTGAGGATCGACCCAGTGTGCACTCTCCGTGGAAATTCAGCGAGATGTCAAATATTGATGCTGGAGCATAATGGGCCTCTAGGTTGAGTTTTATCATCCCTTTGATCAGAAGGCAGGCTTTAGTGGCGCATTCGGCTCTGTGCTGACTCCGCCACTTCACAATAGCATGGTAACGTCACATTAACTTGGTAACGTGAGATAAGGTAGGCCTACTCCGTCCAGCCACCATCTCTGTTGTTTGATTTTCAACGAGAATGCTGGAGTGGGCCCATTTAGCTTAAGCCACAGGCAGCTCTGAATATATAATATATAATATATAATAGAGCACTAAATCAGTAAATCATCTTCAGGCTGTTTGGAATTTACTTTGAATTTACATGAATAGAAAGTAAGCTGTCCACCGACAGGATCCTTTTCATACATCCAGGGTTTTAAAACGGCTGGGCTCCTTCTCCTTTCCATTCCATCTATGGAAACTTTATTTCACAGGCGGCTGTGCTCCTCTATAACTTTCTAATGTCACATGTCAGTCCTGGCTGTGACAGACGCAGCTGCTCTTCCCACTGTGACACCCCTGAGTATGTGGAGATGATCAACACTCATAAAGTTTCACTCACACAAGCACAAAAAAACTTTGGAAATTATCCCAGTCCTTTTCCTGACCAACCCCAACAAAAAACCACACATGTTTTATGATAATTTACATTTTATTAACAAAGAGTTCACTTTTTATGTACAAATATTCTACATCACGATTATAAAATAAAAGGAATATATCTTCCATGGGACAATTGCACTTTGAATGTCTTCTTCTAATGCTTCCTTCCTTCTTGTGCTACTTGTCTGCTCGCACGAAGGAGGTGAAGACGCTGTCCTCCTTGTCCAGCAGGGCCTGGGGCCTGTCGTACTCCAGGATGATCCCCCGCTTCATCACAATCACTAGGTCGGCATTCACGATGGTGTGGACGCGATGCTGTGCAGTGGAGGGGAAGAAAACCAGTCACTATATTGACACTAAATGAGTCTTTTGAAACAATAATCAATGCTTTATCACACAAAATTACAACTCGAATGAAACTGGCTGTTAAGAGAGATGAAATAAGAGGTTCTAATTCAGGAAAATGTTCCTCCACAGTAAAATATGAAATATCTTACGGTGAAGAGTTCTGATATTTCAATATTCATTGATGATCTTTTCGATTACTTTATCGTGAGATAACCTTATGAATTCAGAGATACAATTTTCTGCTCTGATTTCCACTTTCCTTTTTTGCTAATAATCACGCAGAAACAGTTTGAAATAGTTGTTTTGTCCACTCTGCATCTGTTTGCTTTGTATCACTTTACAACAACTGCATCAGCAGTGCAGGACAAAGGTCAGCTCTCTCTGGGGGAAATGGGAGCGCTGCATGCTGTGGGGGAGATACTCACTGCTATAGTAACTACTGTTCGGTCAGCAAATGCAGTCATCACCACTTTCTGCAGGATGCTCTCCTGTGAGGACAGAGGCAAGGGGAGAGGAGAGCAAAGTAAAATAAAGAGCAGTTTTAACAGTTAACATGTTCCTTCATATACTGTTCAACCCTGTTAAAGCTCATTTTTCAAACTGTCCCCTCTCTTGTTCCTCATCTCAGTGTCCCCGATTAAGCGCTTCACCGTGTTTCCTCGAGGGCAGTGCAGCTGCGTTATAGAAAGCTAGAAGTGTCGCTCTTTGTGACCGATCATTCTGGAAGAATAAAAACACTGACTCTCCTCAGGCTCTGAGTATTTCCCCTCCATTTCTTTTGTTCTCTCTGAGTCAAGCACACCTCCTCCACTCCGGCTTTCCTTTTATCCTCTTGCTTAAAAAAAAAAGAAGCATCACTTAAAGGTGCAACCCTTGACCCAAAATTGATAAGAATCGCTGTCACTTCCACAATGACAAGTCTTTAAATAAATATACCAAGAGAGAACAACTAAATCTAAATTATTATGTCATTTTAAAAATAATTTATGATCAGTTGAGAGACACAATGCACATGCCTTTCTACCACCTCGCAGTGCTCTCTTGTACCCAAAACACACTGACCGTTGCCATGTCTATGGACGCAGTGGCTTCGTCCATGATGAGGATGCTGCTCTTCCTGACGAAGGCTCTGGCCAGACAGAACAGCTGTCTCTGACCCTGACTGAAATTTTCTCCTCCCTCTGTCACCATAGCATCTGAATAAAATAAAATACATGAATATTGTTAGTTTTCATATTTAGGTACATTGATATTAAGTATACAGATGTAAAGATGTAATTGGCCATTAACTCGCACAGATCAATATCTTATTGATTTTCCATTCACGTCTCTGTGTTACGATGAGGCTACACGTAATACGGCTCAGACAGATTCATGCTCATGTGTTATCTGACACAGCAGCCTGATCTTTGTAAAGAGAAACTGGGGAAGGCACGAATTTGCCTCAAAGCAATTCCCTCTATCCTCAGACCCTTGGTTTGGATAGAAAGGAAGAAAAGAAGATGAACAGACTAGCTCACACACACACACACACACACACACACACACACACACACACACACACTTAAACAATCACATATTTCTCACCAAGGCCTCCTGGGAGGGATTTAACAACGGGTTTCAGCTGAGCGATCTCCAGAGCTTCCCAGAGCATCTCATCTGTAGCCTTCATCTCTGGGTCCAGGTTGAACCTACACACAGACACATAAACATACATGCGGGCACATACACACTTATTAATACACTTTTGGCATCTTAATTAGCTACATAATATATCCTTAACTAAACCCTCAATAAACCCCTTCCCTTCATTCAACACTAACATTAACATTAAAGAAGGGGCAATGTCGTTGTGATCTCGATCTATTTGAAGTAGCTCATCACTTCTTAATCTCTCTCCCTTAAAGTGTACACTACGGGGAGTGACGAGGTGAGAGCCGAGGCATCAAGCATGTAAATGAACTTTACACAAAAGCATATTTTTACGTTATTCGACTGACTAAAATATCCAAAACTACAGTCTGACAGCATCACGTAGCTTCCTTAAATGCATACTCATCTGTTCTCCTCCAACATGACAAAGCTTTTATGGTCACTGTCCATACTCTCCGTCTCTCTCTCTCTCTCAGCTGTCCTGATGTTATCACACAGTCTAAAAATAACCGGTGAAGTTTTCAGAGGAATGTCCTCTTATCTACAAGCCCTCAGCTCTACTTGTGCTTCAGATGAGTGTCTTTGAAGTGTGTCACAGTTTGCCAGCTGGCTCAGTTACTGGAGATTGTCACAACTCGATTATCACCAAATATAAACCTCTGTGACAAGCCGTCCTGCTGGTAAAATTAATTGTGAAGTGAAGTTCATCGTACCGGATGGCGCCGCTGAACAGGAAGGGGTCTTGAAGGATGATGGACAAGCGAGACCTGAGCGTCTGCAAAGGCAGCTTGGCAATGTCAATGCCATCGATAACAATCCTCCCTGTGAAAGAAAGAAAATCATGAACCAAACACATCACACATAGACTACATTGCAGAGTGCAGTTTTTTCTTGCTAGAGTTGCATGTAAATGCTTTCTCGTAGTTTTTTTAAATAGTCATTTTAATGTACTGCATTTGACATTACAAGGAGTTCAATGTTAGCGTTGGTGTTTTGCTGTACCCTCAAACATGTCCACCATGCGGAAGAAGGCCAAGGAGAAAGAGGATTTGCCGCTGCCTGTCCTGCCACAGATCCCCACCTGAAAACAAAGAAGTCTGAATCATCATTATCATCAACATTCACTTTTTTGATTTTTTTTTTTTGGTTTCACAGGTTTCCTCAGTTTGGCCACCTTCTGCCCAGGTTGGATGCTTGCGTTGACATTTTTGAGCACTGGCTTCAGCGTGGCGTCGTATCGGACACTCAGATTTTGGATCTTGATCTCTCCCTCTCTGGGCCAGCTGTCAGGGACCTGAGATTCAGCTGAGACAGACGCAGAAATATCAGTGGATTTTAGCTTCCCCTCTTTTACACCTTAATATAATGGTTATAACTGTTATCGTTAAATGTGTGATCACTGGAGTCAGATTATTATATTTTTAATCCTGTTCATTAACAATGTATTAACAATGCCTTTTTCCAAAATCCCTTCTGGCTGAAATGAAACATGCATGTATGATAGATTACTAGGATATAAAAGCAGTGGGATGACGATACATTTCTCCTCAGCATAATGATGCCCCTTGGGCTGACAATGTTTGACATATAACATGACAAGGTTAAGCTACGTTTGAGTCAAATAACTGATTGGCTATGATTGTCAAAGCCTCCCACAGCCAACCTATAATTGTGCATTTTTACTGATCCCACCTCGTGCCCAAGTGCGCCACAGGTAAGCCTGGCCACAAAACTATTCATTTTGAAACTGGCCAATGGTCTAATTTCATTACTCAGTCAGTGACAGACTTTCGTGTTTGTAGTGCTGGCCTGGCCTTGCTGCAGCCAAAAACCTCAGACAAGAAACTCCAAATGGGCACCGGTTGAAATGGTGAAAGGAGGTTGAATTTAAGCTGGAACTGTGAGTGTGTTGCTGCACTCACTGAGCAGTCCCTCGTAATTCTCCGGTTCAGTTTTGAGCAGGCCGTTAATTCTCTTGACTGAGCCAAGCTGTACTTCCATGTCAGCCAGGTTACGCACCATCCAGTTCATGTAGTTGGATACCTGATACATAGAGGGAGGAGGAGGGGGAGGAGGAGGGGAGGAGCGGAGGAGGGGGAGTTTGTCAAATGTCACTGCATACACTTCATTAGCATTTGTCAGATAGTCCAGTGGTCTATGGAACATGAGAACAGCTCAACTTTTAAATATTCAGTTCATCTGAAAATGTT